GTATGATGTTGGCTGTGGGTTTGTCATATATGGCTTTTATTATGTTGAGGTATGATCCTTCTATTCCCACCTTGCTGACAGTTTTTATCAAAAATGGGTGTTGGATTTTGTTAAATGCTTTTTCTGCATCAATTGATATGACTATGTGATTTTTATCCCTCAATTTGTTTATGTGACATATCACATTTATTGATTTGCAGATATCGTACCATCCTTGCTTCCCCGGGATAAATCCTACATGGTCATGGTGTATGATCTTTCTGATATAATAGTGGATTTGTTATTCTTAAGATATAACAAATATTGCTTTGATTTACATATGAGAAATATGAGGAACAGAACATTTTAATAACTAGTTTCAGTTTATAAATGTCAGAATTGGGATGTGAACATCTTCTGCATCTCCAGAGATCATGTTCATTCCACTGTTATACAATGTTTCTCTAAGACAGTGATGGCGAACCTATGACATGCTGTCAGAGGTGACACGTGAACTCATTTTTTTGGTTGATTTTTCTTTGTTAAATGGCATTTAAATATATAACATAAACATCAAAAATATAAGTCTTTGTTTTACTATGGTTGCAAATATCAAAAAATTTCTATATGTGACACGGCAGCAGAGTTAAGTTAGGGTTTTTCAAAATGCTGACATGCCAAGCTCAAAAGGTTCGCCATCACTGCTCCAAGAAGTAGATATTCACTGAACATCTTACCTGGTTTACATTTACATGCTTATATGAATTTAAAGATGAGGCTAGAGTTTGGAAGGAGAAAGATGAAAAAGAGACAAGTATTACTAGAATATAGATAGTTAAAATCAAGGAAATGGATGATCGGAACATGAACTAAGAGAAAAATCCTGAAGTTGGAACCTGGCATTTATGGTGCAGGCAAAAGAAGAGCAACCTAAGAAAAAGTACAAGAAGGAAGAGTCAAAGGAGTAGAAGCAAATCCTAAAGTCAGAGGAAAGAGTTTCCTCTAGTATTCCACCAGAATAAACAAAGGTTTTGACACTATGATTGTATTATACCCAGAGACTTAAGAAAGCCCTGATGCTGCTTTGATATTCACTCCTTCTTCATACAGTGATGTTGACAGAGAAACCAATATGTAAAGAATATAGAAAAAGAGTTATCTAAGTACCATTTTATTATCTGAATCTGCCCTAATTACTTCCAATAGAAAGTTCTTTGTTAAAAATAGAGTTAGAAAACCAAGGTTGGAGTCCTCAATTGGAACGCATTCATTTCTTCAGATAAATCTTGCAATCAGCAGGCTCAGATACATCACCAGAGTAAAAAATGAGAAATGGTCAGATCTACAGAACTGGCTCTAGTCTAACTCACTCAACAATTTGCAGGTAATAAAGATGTACCACTAAAAATAAACAGACAACATAACTCTGACTGCTGTTAGAAGTGTCCCCCAAACAAAAGAATCTTTAGATTGTGAGAATAATTTCAGATTTAGTTGATTAGTAACTATGAGGTGACTTAAGGTTAAGCAGTAATATGGAAAAAGTAACATTTATTCAGAAAGATATGTTGTTCAACTATGTATTGAAATTGTTCTAGTCCAGCTGATATGGCTCAGCGGTGAGCATCAACCCAGGAACCAAGAGGTTGCCTGTTTGATTCCCCATCAGGGCACATGCCCAAGTTATGGGCTCAATCCCCAGAGGGGATTGTGAATGAGGCAGCCAATTTATGATGTTCCTCTCTTATCAATGTTTCTATCTCTCTATCCCTCTCCCTTTCTCTCTCTCTAAAAATCAATAAAAACATACTTTAAAAAAAGAAATTGCTCTAAAAATATTTCCTACTTAAATACACATACAAATACTAGAAACTTGGTTAATATTCAAGATTTGTAGATTTTAGAGAGTTTTAGTTTTGTAGGAAACCCTAATTGTTTAGAAACAATAATAACCTGAGGATCAGTTACTCATATTTGGGAATAAACTGTACACCTAGTAAATATTAACCAGATTTCAATTATGGTATCTAGGAGGAAATAAACAATATTTAAATATTCACCTTATAAATTTCAACATCTAAAATGCCAAAAAGTTAATGGGCTCAGAAGAAAACTAAAGTTGTGCCCTAATAGAGAAAATTTGAAATTTTTGGATTGCTACTTTTTATAAAACATCTAAGGTGATGGCTTTGATTTTTATTTTAAAACAAATGATCCAGTTAGGGGTTAATATAAACTGCAAAAACACATTTTAAAGAAATTAATAGTTTAACCATTAAAAAATGCCAAAAAGTTACACTTCCTCTTAAACTTTCAGGGTAAAAATGAATTTATGTATATACTAGCGGCCCGATGCATGTGCACCGGTGGGGCCCCTTGGCCTGGCTAGTATCCTCTCGCAATCCAGGACCTCTCAGGGGCATGAATTCTAGTATGCATAAAAAATCTTTGGTTAATCTCTTCTCACCCTCCTCCTCCCACTCCCCTCATCACTCTGTTCCATGTTTCCATTCCTGTAGATTGAGCATCTGCCCTCTGGTGGTCATTGCACATCATAGGGACAGGTTGTTGGATAGTCTCTTAGGCATCCTTATCTAATAATAGACAAACATGGTTATTGACTGTACCTTCGCTACACCTCCCATTGGCTAATCAGCATGATATGCAAATTAACCGCCAACAAAGATGGCAGCTACTTTTCATACTGCAGGCAGGGCGGGACAGCGCAGCCACCAGTGCGAGCTGCCATTCCGGGCCGCAGACCAGCCCCAGAAGCCGCCCAGAAGCTGGTGATTGGGGTAGATGGGGGTCCCCAGCCCAGGCCTGACAGCACTGGTGGAGGTGTCAGGCCTGGGCAAGGGGCCGATCCAGTGATCCGAGGGTGATGGGGGTTGATGCCTCTGGCCGAGGAGTCAGGCCTGGGCGAGGGCAGAACCCTCTGTCTTGTTTTACTCACCTAATAATCATTTAATGCAAATTTTCTAAGCATTACACAATGTGCCACAGTCCTGAACTTTGAGAAACTCATAGTCTGACAGAGCTAACATACCAGTACATGTAAAAAAATACTGAGACAATGTGCTGAGTACTTTAATAGCAACAAGAATAACATGTTTTAAGACTGAGCTGAAAGGACTGAATTCAGGTAAGATATCAGAGTAGACATTTGAGTCTTAAAAGGTAGGTATAAGGTGATTTTGAGGCACAAAATGGAGTTCTACAAATAGACAATTTAGATGTTTGGTATGAAAGTAGTCTAGCATAGCCAGTGTATTCAGAGGAAATGGTAAGTTGGGGCTAACAAATGGGGTTGGGAAAACTGGATGTCTGCATATAAGAGATGAAATTGGACCTTTATCTTATACCATGCACAAAATGAACTCAAAATGGGTTAAGGACTTAAGGATAACACATGAAACTAAAACCCCTAGAAGAAAACAGAGGAAGAGCTTCTAAACATTGGTTCTGACAAAGATTTCCTAGGTATGACCCCAAAAGCACAGGCCATAAAAGCAAAAACAGACAAGTAGGACTACTTCAAACTAAAAAGTTTCTGTATAACAAAAACAACAACAAAGTGAAAATGCAACTACAGAATGGGAGAAAATATTTGCAAATCATATATCTGATAAGGAGTTAATTCCAAAAATATATAAGGAACTATAATTCTATACTTAAAAAACACACAAAAAAACAACAACCATATAATCTGATTTAAAAATGAGCAAGGACTAAAAGAGACATTTCTCCAAAGATAACACAAATGTTATATGTGTTATGAAAAGATGCTCAACATCACTAATGGTCAGAGACATGCAAAACCACAATATCACCTTATGTCTGTTATGATGGCCATTATAAAACAAAACAAAAAGACAAAAACAAAATTCCAGAAAATAGTAAGTGTTGGTAAGGATGCGGAGAAATCTGAATCCTTGTACACAGGTGGAGGAAATGTTTTAGTCTAAAAGTAACAGAAAACAATATGATTTTCCTAAAAAAATAATAATAAAATTACCTTATGACCCAGCAATACCTGATTATATATGTACTACTACTATATGCCATACCTAAATGGCTATATTCTAAAACTTTCAGTCAAGCAAACTGCAGCCTACTTAGATAGCATTGCAAAGAAAAAACTTAATCTCTGGCTTACTGAAAATTATGTTCATTAGTTAGCAATTACTGGGTTGGAGGCATATAAAAGTTTCACAGGGATTTTAACAAAATAATGAATAAAATTTGGAAAAAAATTCAAAGAACTGCCATTTGTTATCCCAAGAATATGATCCAAAGGACATCAAGAACAACATAATTATAGATTAAGAGTACAAACCTAAGGTGACTTCTGAAGTATACTGATAATCGGGGGAACATATGGTAAAATAAGTCTCACATAAGCAAAATCAAGTTAGTCTTTCATCCACTTTTTCCAAGTGGATTTGAAGTCAACATATCAGCTCCTTCTAAAGTGCTCAAAAATGACACTGTATCCCACATTCAAAATACACAGAGGAATTCAAAATACACAATGAGCTTATCTTTCCAAATTGTATCTACATAAAATCTATTTTTCATGATTACATGAATACAAAAGGCTGAAATAAATGAGTAATCGTTAACATAAAATAATAGAATATTTTAATAGAAGTTAATATTTTTTCTTACACACTAACTTACCCGACCCTGAATAACTACATAATAAGTGTAATGTAAATAAAACTATTTTTGTTGTTCTCCAAAAGTGAAAAATTTCCTATTGCACATAGCAAACAAATCAGTCCAAGACTGAAGACATGGCAATCGGCTGCTAAAATATTCACTGCTAGTATTAGTGGAGAGAAATGGTGCGCCTGTGTGTAAAAGGTTCGTAAGGGAAATGAATGCAACACGATTATAGTAATCAGTCATTAGCAAACGTTGTAGTTTGTTATTAATAATTATGTATAACAGGATATTGTAAAAATTAAGTTATGAAATTTTTATTAAAACATTTCTTATATACCATTATGTTGACTGGGCCACAAAAATATTCATTGTGGGCCGCGAGTTTGACATGCTTGGCCTAAAGCAACTGAGATTTAAATATTATTCTAGCTTTCAGACTATACATAATTAAAAAAAGAAGTTGCAGAAAATCTAATTTTAACTCAAGAGCAACTCTTAAGATATATTTACAAAACTCGGCATAGGCCTAATGGTAACCTCAAACAGACTACTTCATTATTTGAGAACAAAGAATGGGGAAAATAAGTTTCAGTTTACATAAGGTTCTTACCTGTATAATGCATCATCAATCTCTACAGATTCTGTTGACATCATGGGCAAATGTGTATTTGTACTGAAAAAACCAAACAAAATCTATAAGGGAAAGCACGATTATTCAATATTCACATCCTGTAATTAACATCCAATTATACATGGTATCAGATTCACCAGTTACTAAAGGAGTTTTACAAATCAGATATATATTTTATTATCTACTACTTTACTTGGATTTAAAAAATAGATCAAAATTAAACTCACCGATTGCATATTCTTTCTGTGTATACTGCAAAATTACAGCCCATGGTTGTTTTAGTCTCAGGTATTGTTTTATCACTGATGCATAATTTCTTTTGGATCTATATTTTAGCAGTTTTGTTGTAGTGTCCCACAAACCTTCTCTAATATACAGTTTCCCTAGATAATCTCATACAATCCATGGGACTTTACAATATACTGATGATATCTAAACTTCTTTCTCTGTGTTTGACCTCTCCTCTGACCTCTAGATTTTATACATTTTCCAGAACAATATCTCTAGTCTGATGTCCAATTAGTATCACAAATATAATAAGCCCAAAACAGAATTCAATTCTCCCTGCTTAATCTATTCTTCCCCAGTGCTTCCCAATTCAGTTTCTGGTACTACCTACCATTTACCTGCTCAGGCCAAAAAATCTAGGGATCTTTTTCATTTGTCCTTCATTTTCTTCATCTGTTAAGCTCTTCCTTCAAAGGAGATCTCAAATCTGATCACTTCTCACTATTTCAATCTGTATAATCTCAGGCCAAACGACCATCATATTTTATCTGAAGTACTTTGAAGGTCTCCCAATTAGTTCTCCATTCTCAACTCCCACAACTCTCCTTGCTCACTATCTTCAGCCTCGCTGGCCTACTTGCTGTTCCTCAAAAAGCCAAGCCTGCTATCACTTTAATTTTTACACTGGCTATATTCTTTCTGAATACTTCCTCACAAATATTATGCAGACCATTCCTGATCACACTATCAATGAAATGGCTCCCCTTCTCCTTAGGTCACTCCGTAATTCATTAACCTGTTATATTTTCTTCAAATCACTTATCATTAACTGTTTATTGTCTGCTTTCCTCTATGGAATGTATGATCCATTAAGAAGTCACTACTGCATTTCAAATACCTAAAAGAGCTGGCATTTAATGAGAGTTAACACTGTGTCCACACCCTTTTAAATGCTTTAGCTGTACTAACTCAGTTAATCCTATCAACAACTTTATGAAATAGGCACTATTATCATCTTCATTGAACAGAGGGAATAAAACAAAACACCACAAAACTAAGGATGACTTAAATAACTTTCCTAAAGTCATAGCAGGCAAATGGCAGAGCCTAAGCAGTCTAGCTCTTGGGTACCAGACTATACTGCCTATTACCTCTTACGTAGTAGGAATAAAGAGAGCATTCAAAAAATATGTGTTGAGTAAATTTTAAAGTTAAACATACCGGTGTGACAAGACATACTTATGGTAATGTATCCTTTACCATAGCTCCTCCCAATTTTTTTAAAGCGTGGCATGCAAAGAAAATGATAATAGGATAAGCACTGGGAATAGAGATGGTTCCCTGGCAGAGGGAACCAGCCTGAGGCATTTGGGCTTGAGTCACTGTGACAGCTAAGATCAGTATCATCTTAATAAAAATATAATCCATTCCATATTCTGGGAAGCTTTAGTGATCAATTACAGGATTCTAAAAACAATGTGGTAGCAAGAAAGTTCAGTTTTAGAACTCATTTTTTTTTAAGGCCTGGTACTGATATATAAGTCAAAGGATCTATCTATATATCCTATATAATAAAAGGCTAATATGCAAATAGACCAAACAGTGGAACAACTGAACAACCTGTCACTATGATGTGCGCTGACCACCGGGGGTGCACGCTTCTCTACCTCCCCCTGCTCCACTTCCCCCTGCTCAGGGCTGGAAGCTGCCTCTCTCAACTGCTGCCAGCAATGGCTCCACTCTCACCTGCTGCCGGTGCCAGAGCTGCCTCTCATACCCACTGCTGGCGCCTGATACCGGTCCCAATCACCCCTGAGGGCTTTTCTACCTCCCTCTGCTCATGAGGAACAGTTGGGGCATCAGCTGCCGCTCACACCCATTGATGGCCCCGGCCCCGATTGCACCCGCTGTTGGCACCGGCCCCAATCACTCCACTCAGTCAGTGGGTGCGAGCGGGGCCAGTACCATCAGTGCATGGGTGTGGGGCTGCTGGCAGACAAGGAACTGGGTGCCACAGTGAGAGGGGCTGAGCGAGGGCGTGGAGGATGGGCCAAGACCCGCCCCTGTGCCCACAGCAGCCTCATGGCCCACAGTTCTTTTCAAGGTGCACGAATTCATGCATTGGGCCCCAAGTACATATATAAAAGCCTAATATGTTAAGTGTCTGACCATTTGACCAGTTGCTATGATGTGCACTGACCACCAGGGGGCAGGCGCTCCACCGGTAGGTTAGCTTGCTGCTGGGGTCCGGAAGATGGGAACTGAGCGAGACAGGACACGCCCTGGGGCCCTCCCGTGGTCCTACCCTGGCCCTTGGGTCTCGCATTGTGAGAGGCCACACACCAGACTGAGGGACCCCCACTGCAGGCCTCTAGTTTGTAAATATATTTAATCTTACCAAACATTGCTTGGTACCATTAAATGCCATCAGCTTCTACTTAAATGGGTAACTATTAGAAATATTCCTGATTGCAATTACGAAAGCAAGCCAGAAAATAGCTGCACTCATTACACATCCACTGTTAATAACCTGTTTGGGCACTGCAACAAAATATGAAAATAAAATGTCCTACTACACAGTTTTCTCATCCTTAGGACACTTTCTCTAGCAGGAGGGAGAAGTCTGGAGGGTAAACCGAAAGTGAGAAGCCCTGCAGTCTCATCAGCCCTGTCACTTACTGTGACTGGCAGCGTTCAGAAAGCCCTGCCTTGCTGGGATGGTTCACAAGTCACGTTTGTGTTAAGATCTATGTGGCCATCAAAGGTGCTTTAAAAAGGGGGAGTTTCTGTTGGCGTTGCACAATGTCCCCCGAGTGCATGTGGCAGCGTGGGCAAAGCCGGGCAATCCCCCGGTATCAGAAGCATCCCTCAGCCTGCAGCTCCGTTAAGGGCTACGGGATCGCGTCCACCGTCGGCAGATTGTATTCCGGCGATGGCGGGACACAACACGCCGCTTTATTAACTATGCAATCACTGAAGCAGGAACTACACGAACCCTCATGTTCCAGGAGCGAGCAAACCGCGAAGAACCTCAACACCAACTGGGAAATAAGAATGGGTCACTCGGGCTTTTCCCTGATTTTTTTTTTTTTTTAACTGTGGCCAACAGAAGTCCTCGGGGTGTCCTGTCACTGACTCATGATGACCGAGTTCCCCCAGGTAATCGTTTTAAAAGGAGGCTCGCGGTGGAGGATGACGCCCAGGGGAGCTCCTAGTTTTCATTTTACCGGCGGGAGGGCAGCATGTGTTGTTAGGCAACAGGTCTGGGAGCGGACCGGGCCAGGACTCCCGGCCGGAGCCACCCTCCGCCACAATCCCGCCCGGTGACTGCGAGGAAGGAGGATGGCAGACCCCGACCGGAACTGAGGGAACGTTGAAAGGGGGAGAGTAAGGACTTTCTCCTCGACGAAGCCGGGAGCCCCGGAGG